TTAAGCGACTGCCTTTGGCTCAGGTCATGATCCTGGAGTCCCGGGATTGAGTCCCGCATCGGGCTCCCTGCTCAGCAGGGCGTCTGCTTCTCCCTCTGACCCGCTTCCCTCTCATGCTCTCTCTCATTCTCTCTCTCAAATAAATAAATAAAATCTTAAAAAAAATAAAAATAAAAAACACCTATACACCATTTGTATCAGATTATTCTCCATGTTTGGGAGCTACCTCCACCTCCCTAAGTCCTAATCTATCAAAGCTTTTCAATTTATAGCATCTCATTGAATCCACTTCACAAGCTTGAGGGAAAAAAATGGCCCTACTGATAGTTCCTAAAGTGGCAGAAATCTGTAGAATTAGAGAAGAAAGGGAATGTTGAAGATGTATTGAGTGACTCTCTGGAACATACAAAGCTCAGCAATCTACATCGATTATCTTGTTTAATCCCTTGCAACAACAACAGCACCATGAGCAAGGTGATATTAATCCTCTTTTTATATTGGACAGGCTGAGGTTCAGAGATAACAAGTGACTCTCCCAAGGTAACGCAGCGTTGCCTGTGATGGGGCTGGAATCTGAAACCAGGCTGCTTGAATCTGCAGCCTGAGCTATTTACAAAGTATGCACCATGACGATGTCCATCTTGGTTATGCAGGAACTGAGGTTCTTAATCCTGAGGAAACGGAGTTACTGCATCCAACATGGCATGTCATACATCTATAAAAGCTGCAGCTGATTTTCAAATCCATGTGTTCAGATGCTAAATCTCATGGTTTTTTTGCCCACTAGGTTACGTCTATATGCTTGAGATACAACATATTTTCAGTTACAAGCGATAGATGGGTTTTCAAAAATAAGTAAAGTGCAAGGGAGAGCCTGAGGGTAACAATGTTCCTGGTGATTTCCCTATCAGCTTTCCTAACTCCATAACTTTAACAAATAAATATGCTCTGTGGTTGGTTTGGCCTGAAGCTCTGAAAGCCTGATCTCATCCATTTAGACGTAGTGCAAGTCCTTGATTTTTTCTTTAGACTCTTCTTCTGTGTCATCTCCAGGGCTACAAGGTGGTCCCATCATAAGCTCTGGATCTTCCTCGCCTTCAGATTCTTGGGTCAAATGTTAGCAATTTAAAATATGTATCTGGTCTGGTTTAATAACAAAGAAGTCAAAATATATTTTAAACAAATAAAAACTCAAATGGTATCCTGTGTGGTTAATTAGAAATGAAGCAACAACAGACATTATCTGCCACTTTCCCAAATGTCCTCTTATCCAGTTTACCTGGAAAACAGAGCTTTTGCATAGAAAGGTAACAAGAACATGCTATACCTGATAAATAAAAATGAGTTTCCTTTGCTTGTTGAAACTGGGCCATCCACAACTGTATCATCACTGAGGTGGAAACCAATCATCACTCAGCCTACATTAATGTCATGATACCATAATTGTGATTCACTCAATGGTCTTCTGCAGACAGCAATTCTTATAAATAAGCCCCCTCATTCAGAATGCCACAGAATGTGCTCAGATGACTGGCAGAGGCAACATAAATATTGATCATCATCATAATTGTAATTTATATTGGCATAATGTCCTCCTTACGAAGCATTTAAATGGCTATGAATATTTTCTTCAAATTTGTCCTAATTCAAATACATATGTGACTGGTGTTTATCTTTGCCATGATATGAAAAATGAATTAAAACTATAATCACAATTTGTGTTTGTGGAGGAAGATGATTTCTAACATACTTGGAAAACAAAAAGGAAAACTGATTTTACAGGATTTTAAAAAACTAGTTGGTAGGTATTTATAATGTTGCAATATGCATTGTGCTAGTAACAAAGTATTTTTATTTCCTCATTCAAGCCTGCGAGGTTATTATTCTTTTGTAATAACACTCCATTAGTCCAAGATTTAAAACTTAGTAGTATTTATTTGCAAATATTGTGCGAATAAAAATTTTCCTTTCTGTTTCTCCTTTCTTTTATTCATCCCAAATTTCAAAATAGTTAAACTTCAAAATAGCTTGTTGGTTTTTTTTAACTTGTACTGTGTTCTAAATGGAGCTTATTCTGTAATATACCAAGATCTGTTTATCTAGTCTCTGCTCTAGGATCTGCTCATCTACCTCATTAATTTCCCTTTCTCTGTTAGATCACATTCATTATCACACCCACATGCTCCAGCATTTCCCATAGTAAAAAACAAACATTGACTCCAGTGTCCTCCTCCCAAGTGCCCGTTCCGTATTCACAGAGAAATTCAGAATTCGCTTCCTTACCTTCCATTCTCTCTTGCATTCTTCCCACTCCCTTGTCTTCCTCACTATACTGATGTTCTTCTCATGGCTGTCAAAGACCATTATGGTTAGAATTAAAGTATATATAGGCATTATACCTGTTGGACATGGGCTCCCAGCAGCCTCTGCCATAGGGGCTGATCCCTTTTTCATGATACACTTCCTGTCTTTTGTGAAAGCATGCTTTCTCAGTTTTCCTTCTATCTCTCCAGAAGCCCCCTTTCCATCTCCTTAACTAATATCTCCTGTCAAAATACGTGTTAGTTATATTTGTTTCATTAAGGTTTTTTCCTGAGGTTTTATCTTATTCTTTCATTTCATTTTTTCTATTCTTTCATTTTGCTTGACTGCTTTGGTTCCTATGTATTAGATAAAACAGCCTTATCCTCCCGTCTTGAAAGAGTGGCTTCCTATAGAGGAGGAACCTTATCATTCATCCTCGTCCTAGCTCTTGGTTGTCTCTCAAACCTTTGGGATTGTGCAAGCAGCTTTCTAATTATGTTCTTTCCAGCTTATCTCTTAACTCTGGCAAAGACCCTGTAGGCAAAGCGTCTCTGATGGGAACCAAAACTCCCCCTCCAAGCAATAAGGACTACCAGCAAGACCCTGCCCATTCCAATGATCAACTTGACCCTCACTGCCTACCAGCATGTACCCACTGCCTTTGCCCCACATTTTCCTTATCTAAATCCGGAAGTATTTTCGACATTTTGGAGACAGTCTTTGAGATGTTAGTCCGTTGTTTTCTGTTGTTGGCCTCACAAATAAATTCCTTCTCCATTTTACCACTACTTGTTTCTCTCTGCCTTTGGATTTTGTCAGCAGGGAGTGACTGAACCTTGTCTGTTTGGGACCCCAGAGCCAGAGCCTAGCAACAGGGAAGTGTGTGTGGGCCGCAACACACACAGCAGGGCTCCAGACAAATGTATGAGCTCTTCTCTGGGCGGTGACCTAGAGCTGGAGTTGGGGGGGGAGGGGTGCGAAGGTGCCAAGCTCATGACCACCATGATCCCAGAGAGCACTTCCTAGATCCAGAGCTAGTGCCAAAACTGGAAGCCTGCGTCTCCCCCGCCCTCCAGGCTCCAGAACAAGGAAACAGGTCTCCTGCCCAGAGAGCCGGGGTCTGGGGAAGTGGACGGGGACAGTGGAGTTTCAGTCTGCAGCGTGTCTGCTGCAGGATGGCAGTCTGCCCACAACTGTCTCTGCTTGCTACAGTCCTGGGACACCCAGGATCACCAGGGCCCCTGGCCTCCAGAGCTCGGGGATCGAGGATGTCCCGTGGGCAGCCACGAAACAGAACAGCGGACGCACATGCAAGCTTACCCGGGAGAGGCCTGGCTCCGGGCCGGCGGGGAGCAGGACGACGGCGCCTGCGCAGGACGAGGGCGCCTGCGCAGAACGAGGTGGGCGGGGCGCACAGATGGCGCCCAAGAGGAAGAAAAGAAGAGCTCAGGCTACAGCCAGACAGAGGGAAATACGGAAGATGTTGCCCGCCAGCCAGCAGGCCGTAGACGGGTGCTAGAGTAGATGCCTGCCTCTCAGGCTGAAGTGTTATAAATAGCAAAAAAAAAAAACCAAAAAAGCCTCAGGGCAGACAGTGGCGCACCTCTGCGTGGTGTGCCTTTGCGCTGAGCCCCAGCAGGTGAGCACCCGCGCCCCAGCCCTTTTCCAGCCAAGTCTGTTTGTTACAGTTTCTTGGGTCTGGTAGACGCCAGGCCCGTGGGTTTGCAAAGTTAGATGTTTGGGGGCTCTTCTCTCAGGTGCAGGTTTTTTTTTTTTTTTTTAAGATTTTATTTATTTATTTGAGAGAGAGAATGAGAGACAGCACGAGAGGGAAGAGGGAGAAGCAGACCCCCCGCTGAGCAGGGAGCCTGATGCGGGACTCGATCCCGGGACTCCAGGATCATGACCCGAGCCGAAGGCAGTCGCTTAACCAACTGAGCCACCCAGGCGCCCCTCAGGTGCAGGTTTTAAAGCTGGGGTGTCCGAGGTGGGGTTCAGACCCTTCGCTTCTCGGGGAGAACCTCCCTCCGGGTTTTGAGTCCCCTCTGGATTGTGGGTGGCAGACAGCACAGGGAATGGAGTTCATGCCGAGGTGGTGACCCAGCCTTCGCTACCTGCTTCGGTGTGTGGCTTTCCTCTCGTTTGCCCGATGTGTGCTTGTTGCTCAACCAACGTTTACGTCTTTCTTTTCAGAGGAAACTGTTGCATTTGTGGCATAGATTTGGTGTGTCCATGGGAGGAGGTCAGCCCAGGATCCTCCTGCATCAAGAACTGGAAGCCCCCAGATATTTCTTAGTTGTCTTGTTATGTGCAGGACTCTGGCATAGATCCCCTGTTGTCTTCTGTATTCCGTCTTGCCTCGTGGCCTTAAAGACCCGTACAGAGGCTTCTTACTCCTAAATCTGTATTTCCACCCCTGACCTCTTCTCTGGGTTTGAGACCTAATTCCTCAATTGCTTTTGTGAAAACTCTACTTGGATGTCCAATAAACATCACGGACTTGCTTACTGTTTGTTTAGCAAGCGGAACTCTTGCATCTACAGCCTCCCTAAATATTTTCTGCCTCATTTCCGTAAACAACATCATGTACTGATTTTCTCAAGCCAAAATAATTCCCATGGATCCCTTTAGAAAGAGTGAGATTTATTTCCAAAATAAGTCCCAAAGCCTTTTCGGGGTTGTCCACTCTTTCTGTCCCATTGCTACCACTCTGGTCCAGGTCTTTCCACCCCTACCCTAAGCTTCTGAAAATCCTACAATTGGCCATCCACATCCAGAGATGACCTTCTCCCCTAGCTTATTATTCATACAGCAACCATGTGAGCTTTTTTAATAACAAAATTCAGAACGTACCACTTTCTAACTTAAATCCCTTTGATGGTTTCCCGTATCCTTAGAATAAAACACAGAGTTCTGACAACACATGTCAAAATCCGCCTTTTTCCCCTGCATTTAGCACTACACTCACCACTTTTCCTACTGTCTAGTCACACAAACTTCCTTGTAAGTAACTGCAATACCTAAAATATCCTACCGGCAAATCTCCCCCACTCCTAATTATTCTCTATCACATCACTGTGTTTATGTCCTTCCTATCACTCATGTACTGTGCTTTGTAATTATCTTGTGTGTATTTAATTTACTTAAGGATCTTCTAATAGGAAAGGGCATTCATATTATGAATTCCACCAGATAAGGGACTTTATCATTTTTTAACTATTTTTTCCCACCAACTAGGAAAGTATCTGTCCTCTTGTAGGTATGCAGTAAATATTCACTGAATGAACAATCAGGCTGGCCTCATCACATTGCATTTAACCTTAGATTTATCCATTCACAGCTATTCAATGAAAACTTAATGCAGCATTTGGTAAGAAACTAGTATCTCTCCGCTTCTAGAACAGAGGTCAGCATACTATAGCCCGAAGTCCAAATTCTGCCTGCTGCTTGTTATTGTAAATGAATTTTTTTTAGAAGGCAGCCATGCCTATTCAGTTACTTATTCGTTGTCTGCGGCTGCTTTGTGCTTTAGGGTTGAGTAGTTGTAGCAGAGACTGCCTCTTGGCTTGGGAAGACTAAAATATTTGCTCCCTGGCCCTTCACAGGAAAAATTTATTGACCTCCGCTTCAAAAAAATCCTAATGTGATAATTGCCTCAATAGAAAATCTTCTTTTGTTGGGTTTTCAAAACTAACAGTCAAGCAAAGAATTTTAAAGACAGCCTAATGCATCCTGTGCAACATCAAGATCAGTGTCCATTCTCCATCTTGATCTCCCCATATTTATAGTCCTGAGTCTCTATTCCGAAGACTGCGTTTTAGTCGAGACTTATCCATGAACACTTGATAGTCACCAAGCCCTGAACGTTTTCCAGGTTCAGTCTCATCATCTGTGAGATGAGAAGAATAACGTTTGCTTTGGCTAACTGAATGCTTGTGAGGAAGGAGTGAAGTGTCACACACCTGTGGCTGAGTTTGGGTTTTTGACTTTTATCTTTCTTTTTTTTTTTTAAAGATTTTTTAAATTTATTTATTTGAGAGAGAGAGAATGAGAGACAGAGAGCATGAGAGGGAGGAGGGTCAGAGGGAGAAGCAGACTCCCCGCCGAGCAGGGAGCCCGATGCGGGACTCGATCCCGGGACTCCAGGATCATGACCTGAGCCGAAGGCAGTCGCTTAACCGACTGAGCCACCCAGGCGCCCTTGACTTTTATCTTTCTGATCGCTCCTTAATCATGCTCTCCTCAATGGTCCCCATTCTCTGCTTCACTTCTGGCAAAGGCTGTTTTGATTGCAGATCATGATCATGACTTATGCAGTTAGACTGTCTGGATTTAAATTCCAACTCTCACATATAAGAGTTTAAAAATAATTTTTATGAAGATATAATTCACATATAACATTGTATAGGTTTCAGGTGTACAACATTGATTTGAGACATTTATATGGTGATATGATGGCCATGGTACCATTAGCTGACACTTCTTTCATATCACAGACTTACCATTTCTCCCAGTGGCAGGAAGAATTAGGATCTAGTCTCTTAGCAAGTTTAACATTTATAATACAATTTCATGGTCTGTAATCACTGTACCATGTACAGATCTCCAGAACTTATTTATTTGCTAGTCATAGACTTTAATAAGTTAACTAACCTTTTCGAGGTGCCTGTGTGGCTCAAGTTGGTTAAGTGTCTGCCTTTGGCTCAGGTAATGATCTCAGGGTCCTGGGATCGAGCCCCCTGACTGGGGGGCTTGTCCCTCTCCCTCTGCCTTCTCCCCCACCCCACTGTCTCTCTCTGTCTTTCCCTCTCAAGTAAAATCTTTTAAAAAAAGAGTTAACTCACCTTTTCAAGTCTCAGATCTTTACTAGTAAAATGAGAAAATAAGAGGTAGTTCATATCGAGGTTACTGTGAGTCAGGTAGTGCTTTAAGCCTTTTAGGTATATTAATAAGTTTAATAATCTTAGCAACACAATGAAGTCAGAGTTATTATTATTGGCATCCCAGTTTATAGATAATAAAATTGACGCACTAAGAAGTTAAGATTACCGACCCGATAAATAGAGCAGAGGTTTGAACCCAGTCCCTGGGTTTAGCTTCTTATTTTAGCATAAAATTCTGGTTGGGATTACCCAAAGGAAATGATGAAAAATTCTTGACAGCTCCTGCATTAGAAATCATGCCATAAATGTGAATTATTTCTTTATCCAGTCTTCTGTAGGCATCTATTCTGAGTGGAAAATGTCCTGCTCTATTCTTCCAGAATTACTTTGATTATTTCTGTCTAAATTAAGTTGAAATTAAAATATTTAGTTTATCCATTTGCACGATACCATTTAAAGAGCAGCAAAACTCACCTTTAATTTTGTGTGTGTGTGATGTCACGCCCTCTAGTAAGAGACCCTAATATCTGGGTGAGCCGAATTTTTTGGTAGCCAAAATACAAAATACCAAATACAGTCACTTTGGGACTTAGGTTCCAATATATGAATTTGGGGGAAACGCAGTTTAATATATAGTGATACTTCCCAAAATTCTTGAGGATTCCAAAGAGTTCTTATTTATTGGGTTATATTCATTGATATTTGGTACGTTAGAAATTTAAACTGAGGAATTTTTAAAACAGAATACACAGTGTACATTCCAGTAGCTGTCTAGAAAACTATACTTTTATACTTATGGGAAAATAGAGTGACAAAGGCAAACAGCACTTCAGTATTATTATGCAAATAGATTTGCCTTCACAGACACTCTGAAAGGATCTTGAGGATTCACAGGGATCCCAAACAAACTTGGAGAATCACTCACATAGAAGAAAATTGAGCTGCCTAGCTATTTTTTAAATAAGCAATTCTTCCAAAAGGAAGCCATTATATATAAATATATATATATAGTAGATTACCTATCTATCTATCATCTCTCTATCATTTATCTATAATACATATATCGGCAGTTATTCAGAGTCTAAGGATCTCCTTTTTTGTTCCAAAGTTAGGATAACACACAGAAATTACAAGGCTAGACATCCTGCCCCTCTTCCTGCCACCACCATTTTAATACCCAAACCTAAAGACAGTTTTAAGCATTCATTCTTATCTGTATGGACAGCCTACTCTTCTTTTAGAACAAATCAACTTTAGGACTGTGCTCGGGCCAGACAAAAGATAGGCAGATACTGATTTTACCAGGAATGACAGAAAGCTTATATCCTCATTTTCTTTTTTTACATCAAATTCTTGTCATTCTTAAAGCACTACACACACACACACACACACACACACACACCATCTTGATCTTCAAATATAGCAGAGCATTCACTGAAACTATTTTAATAGGAAAAGACCACTGCAGCATTGA